GGGCAAAATCGGCTGTGCTCTGAAGTCCGGCGCCGTCACAGGCGGGAGCTCTCGGTCCAGGACATGCCATGGAGGCAGCGGGCGCGGCTGCAAGGGCAGCGGGCATGTTTGAGGTCGGCTGACCGCGGGCCAGAGAGTGCGGAAAGAGGACAAAATGTCCTGTGCCAAGAGAGCAGGATATTCGGCCGTGTCGCAGCTGATGTACCTGCCCGACTTGTCTCGCTTATTGCGGATCGAAGCATGTTTGTAGGCATGTCGGCACTCTTTCTGTATGTTCTGGATGTGGGGGCTATTGCAGGCAAAAGCTCATGATTTGGACCAAGGCAGGCCGAAGGCGCACGCAGGCACTGAAGCGATGTGGGCAGCAGCTGAGCGTAGAAGCTGTTGGCAAGAAGGCTCCATCCAGGCCATGCTGGATGGGGGGTTCTCGAGAATCCAAATGCCGCCACTGCCTGGCAGAGTGGGTGGCGTCGCTCATCGCAAGTTTGAGGGCAGGCCGTTTAGGTACTCCGGGCTCCTGCACGCGGGGGGCCCCCCTGGGGCGAGCTTGAGGATGGAGTAATCGCGGCAGGGGGGCTAGGTCTAGGAGGCGGTGAAAGAAGGCATCTGAAAGAATGTCGTGGCTGCTGTCGATGGCAATGTCTATAGGCTGCCAATGTGGGATACCTAATTTTTGCAGCTGCCGAAATGGGGGCATTCCGGCCCGAGAACAGGTCCAGGAGCATGCGGCGGCAAGGCTCTTTCGAGAGTAGAGCGGAGACGTCGGCCCCAGGCTAGGCGCAGTGAGTGGTCTTCTCCACACAAGGTTGTTGAAAGGTGGGTGCGGCCTATCCTCCGGGCCCGGAGGATGCGCAAGAGCCGAAGGGTGAGGCACTGCTGACTGGCTCTGGGTTTCGGCTCGTCGGCGGGCTTTGTGGGGGCGACCGCTTGCGGGGGCAGCTCCTGCTTGGTCTGGGGCGGTCGGGGCAGGCTGGGCTCGCTGAAGAGCGTGATTGGCCTGTTGGACCCAGAGGCCTTTTCTGCAGCTATGTTGCCCGCGGAAGAGTAGGCTGTGAGGGGCTTGCTGGGCGCGGTGAGCTCGCGGCAACTGGCGGTTGGAGGCGAGGTTGGGCTGGAACCCAGGGCAAGTGTGTGGTCCGGAACTGCCTCTGGGTCGGCAGAGTCCGGGACTGTGCTCGCTCGCCGGGTGCTTTTGGGCGCAACCGCGGACAGCGCAGTTGTGAGCGAATTTGCATTCGGGGCAGTTTGCATTGGCCTGTTTGGTACCGGCGGCAAAAGGGCTGGCCCTTGTGGGTTCGTAATTTTCCCCCTTAGGCTGCCTCTCAGAGGTCCTGTCGATCTTGGGCGGGGGGGGGGCGACGAGGTCGGCAATGGCTGCCCATATCTTGCGGTCCCCTGCTATGAGCTCGGCAGTGGTGGGAAGCTGGGCGTCAGGCTGTTGGAGGCAAAGTTCCCTGACTTTTTATCCAGGGCCTTGAGGTTTTGTAGGTGTGAGGCCCCACACAGGGCCCAGGCATTCCGGAACACCGTTTGGATGCGTTCGTGCCAGGCAGCGGCAAGGCGCATGTGCTCGACGGGCACTTCTGTTGGCCTCCATGTGCTCCTGGTATTGCTTGGCAGATAGGCGAAATTGCAGGGGATCCAGCGGATCTTCTCCCCTGGCTTGAGGCTGTGGTGGACTCGGCTACTGGGCATGGAATCCTGGTCGAGCAGCTCGTCAGGGTAATTGGCTTTGGGCTTGTCGGTCGTGTCCTGCATTGCTTCTTGTGTTAGGCGTGGGGGCAGGTGCTCCATCCACTGGGAAGGCTGAGAGGGCATGCCCGAAGCGGAGGCCTGGCCTCCCTCGGCACGGGGGCCGGCCTCCAACGGCTGGGCTTTTTTGTGGCACATGTCCAGGACGCGTCGAGGCGAGCTATTTCGACCGACGGGTGAGGGAGTGAGAAGTGGCTTCTGGCAAGGTTGTGATGAAGGCTGCTAGGCGGTCCACGCTGGGGAATGCCCAGGCAAAATCAGCAAGATCTGACAGGGCAGTACACAGCAAGGAGTTAACACGGCACTCCTTGAGCAGATCCTGGAAGGCATTCGGGCAGTCCATGGCAAGGAGCAGGGACTGAGGGAACGCGTGGAGGGTCACGAGTTTGTCGATGAACCTGACATGGCAGGGGGGTGCAAAGGTGGGCTGGGCAGGGATCGGGACAACATGAAAAGCAAAGCAGACAGTCAATCACCCCCTTTTTTGGCAGGCGGGCGGCAGAGTCCCTTACGGGGCTTCAGCACTTCGAGGGCAAGGCGGCAGGCCTTATGCCGGCACATGCGGCTTGGGGCAGGTTGGGGCAGCTCGAGGCCGGCGTCCCCAACAAGTATTCGCAGTTGGTGTCTGCGAATGGGGGCTCTATTGTGGGCGATGGGCCGTGAGGGGCGCCATCCTGGGCCACTTCTTGAGAAATGGTCGACTCCACCTATAGACTGTCGACCGTGTCGTCCCGGCCGTACTGTACGTCGTGCGTCTTCGGGCAGGCGTTTTTGTTTGGCTGCACTGAGTCGGGCAGGATGGGCAGGAGGAAGTCAAGCTCTGTGGTGGACTTCCAGAAGAGCTCGCGTCACCTGCAGCACTCGCGGTGGGGTCATTAGGCCTTTGTTTTCTCTGGTCTGCCCTGGGCCTCTGAAGTGTGCCTGCATGCCCGAAGGATCTCTCGATGGCTGGCATGAGGGTTTTCTCCGGGTCCCCCACAGAGGATCGTGCTCACAGCGCGGCTTCCCTCGGGTGGGAAGATGGCGGGGGGCGCATAGCGCCGGACATCGAAGTGGTTTGGATGGGATGGGTGCTGACCTCTCGGCCCCTGCACTATCGTTTGCAATGTTGAAGACGCTGCGTCAAGTCATCCCCTTGCAGTGCTGTGGCTCATGGTGAGTAAGAGCGAGAAAGCCGTGATGCTGCTGCAGCATATTTTGGTCTGACAGAGCAGGCCAGTGAGTTGGTGACGAGGATTCGCCTGTCACAATGGGGCAGTTTCTCTGCAAACGGGTGAAAGTGCTGTCCGTGGCTTTGTGGTGAGTAAGCGCGAGAAAGCCTGCTGCAGCTGCCTTTGACGGTCTGGCCTCTTCTTGGCTTGCGTGGGCACCCTTTGTCAGAGAAGTTGAACATGCTCTTCTGACTCCTCTGCAGTATGTTACGTGGTTACATTGGTCTCGGGTGTGCGTGAGGACCCCCTTTTTCCTTGCTGCTGAGCACTTCTTGTTTGTTGTAGCACGCGATTGCTGTGCTCCTACAACCAGTACTCATTGCTGTGGTTCCTCTGCGTGTCTATGGGAGCTGTTGCTCGTGCGAGAAAGCCTTTCTGCAGCAGCGTCCTACGTTGGTGTGGTTGGTTATGCTGCAACTCATGGTGAGTAAGTGCGAGAAAGCCGTTTTGCTGCAGCTTTCTGCTACACTACGGACCTCCGGGGCTCGAGGTGCCGTTGGTCGGCCCACGGTAGAGACTTGCGCAGTGCACAGTCTATACTTGCCTTCACAGTGAGCCAGCGCTAGGGTCTCCTCTTCTTTAAGCCTGTCCAGTTGCTGGCTGCGCAGTTCGTGAACCTTGTACATGGCATGTAGGCTTGACCGCCTGTCCAGCCGTAATATGCAGCTCCGCTGATGAGAGAGCGGTTTAGGGACAGGGTTGGGCATGATGTCCGGCGCGCGTAATGGCCGTATGTTGCGCCCGCAGAATCGCTGACTCAGTGAACGCGTTTGGGTGAATGAAAAAGACCCGCCGAGCCGAGGTTCCTTGAAAGAGCTGAGCCGATGGAAGCTGGACGTCTGTACGCCAGTATGTCCTCGTTTAAAGAAGCCGCTGAGATCGATAGTGTAGCAGTGCTGAAGCAGACTGGGGAAATGAAGCATGAATGCCATGCTTGCCCACAATGCGTGGCCGGATGCGGGTCTCGATACCCCAGTTCGGCTATGAGAAAAGAAGCGTGAGTACAGTGTTCCTTTTAAGAATGCCGCTCGGCGCGTCCGCTGTGCCCCCCCGCGGTGTCCCGACCGGCACTTGCAAGAAAGCTGTTGCCTTCTGCTGCGCTGAAGATGGTCAGTTTTAGTGAGACCCGAAACCTTGTTTCCATGAACTTACAAGGCAGAGTCATCCCTCGCGAAGCCTCTCAACCTGAAACCCCGGACCCTCAACGATCTAAGGGTCCGTTCCTCGACCGGCGATCCGCTTCGAAGACCTCGCGACCCTTTCCGCGCACTGCCCGCGATCCGTTCTCGGACCCCATGCGTGATCTTGTTCGCACCGCGCGCGATCCGCCTCGTGCCACTGCGATCCGGTTACGCGCGTCCCACTTCGCGCACCCTGCGATCTGGGTCGCGCGATCCGGTTCGCACGGCCACCCGTCACCCTTCCATTACTTATCGAGACGGCCCGAAGCCCAACAAACCAATCCTGCGGGATGTTTTGCTTTTGTTGGTGTTTATGTGTTCTTTACTGTTTTTGTCGATATGTCAGTCGAGAAACCAAAGCAATTCGAGTTTGGATGGGTTTTCCGAACCCAACACAGCAAAAAGCGAACCAAAACCTAGGATTGTTGGTTCTGCGGGTGGAAAACAACAGCTCCTCGAGATTTGAGTGGTTTTCCTAGCCCGAAGCCGCAACAACCAAAAACCCTGTCTCCAGTCTCGGAGCCAGACAAAAAAGCTCGAGTTTCGATTGGTTCTCGCTCACCCCGGACGGCAAAGCCTGTTCTGGAGCCGAAATCCCCCCCGCCCCCCCCCAAAAAAAAAAAAAGAAAGAAAAAAGGCAACAGGGAAAAAACACATGTCGGCCCCAGGAGCCTATAGGCTTATCCTGGAGAAAGTGCCCTCTTTCTCACACTTTCATACTCATCATACTCTTTCTCTCTGTGGGATGCCATGCTCTCTCTCTCTTTCTCTCTCTCTCTCTCTCTCTCTCTCTCTCTTTCTCTCTCTCTCTCATTCATAATTAGGAGAGCAGCTCTTTTGAGTGAGCGTTTTTGAGGCTCCGGAGGGCGAACCAGTCCTTGGAGTGCCTGGACCAGAAGCTGGGCCATGTCCAGAACTGGACCAAAGCGGGCCAGGCCCCGCTCTCCAAGGAGAGGCTACAAAAGAGCAGTCAATGAAAAAAGAATAAAGAGCTCTCAGAAGATTCACACTTACTTACTTTTGAATTTACTTGCAAACTTCACAAAAACACTTCTCTTTTTTGTTTCTTGTTGCTAGTTTGGCTCCCTTTTTTGTTGGCACCACCCCCCCTTCTTTTCTCGGAGGAGTGGAAGGAGACCATCGGCCGGCAGCTGCGCGAGGCGGAGCGCCAGGAGCAGGCGAGAACCCGCCCCCCCACCGGTTGTGTGTCGGCGGTTCACACATGATGAGCAACATGCCCAAAGCAAGCAAGGAAAATTCGGCTCGATCCGCTTGGGGCCCCGCTGCTGGAGCTCTTGTTCGAGCTTTGTGACCACGACGGACACCAGGGAATGCTCCAAGCAAGCCATCGCTCACAGCTGTTGGGATTGATTGTGGTACAGCAGTTCTGACGGTGGAGCCAGCAAGGGCCAGGTTCTAGGACGTCAGCTTCTGGGTCTGAAGATCTTGAGCTTAGAGTTTGCTCCAACTGACGGTTGTTGGGAGCACGACTGATCTAGCCATATGGGTTGGGCTTACTACTTTTGTACGGCTTACAACTTGGTACTTGCTGCTACCGGCTGCTGCTACTTGGTAGGTCTTGCTGCATGTAGACTAAGGCAGGAAACATCAGACATGTGTCACAAGCGATGATTGTCCATGCGCATCCCAATAATCTGTTTTATGATTGGTTGCTGAGTGGCTGCTTGATTGCCTGACTCTGCCTAGGTGGTGTTTGGTGTTACGGTCGTGGGGGTCTTCTGGGTGGTGTCTGGTGCTGCGGTCACCCGGTCCCTGGCATGATGGTCGTGGGGGGCCTCTTCTTACTGGGGTGTTTGGTGTCATGGTCGCAGGGTTGTTGTGCGTAGGTGGGGTTTGGAGTGTCGTGGCTATGGCAATACGGTTGGTCCTGTGCCTAGGGTGTGTTTAGTGTTATGGTCGTGGGCTCCCCCGCTTGTAAGTGGTATTTGGCCATGCGGTCGCAGGCTCCTCTGGTGATTGGACTTGTGTTGGTTTAACGGAATGGTCTAAGTGGTTGAAGGTTTGATGATTTGGAAAATTTTGGAAAGAATAAGATGAATCGACATTTCAGCAAATCCAAGAGGAGTGAACCTGTTTCTTGTTAAGTTGCTGTGGGCTTGTTTTTTGAAGACTTGAGAATCGCTTCGCGGCTCGAGAACTTTTTAGAAGCGCAACCGAACCGACATTGTGTTTTATCCGGCGTTCGCCATGAAATGTCTCGCCACATTCGTGGCCTTATGTGCCCTGGCTTGGACTTGGGCATGTGATGCTTCGGGGTGTGCCATGGAGAGTGAGGAAACCATCCTAATGCAGAAGAAGGCATCGGAAACAATCGCTTCCGAGCACTCCCCGCATCGCGATCCATGGCAGCACTGGCTCCACCGTCAGAAAGAGCGTCGCGAACGTTGGCTGCAGCGTTGGCGGTGGCGCCAGCAAATGCGTGGGCTCCACCGCCGCCGTCGCCACCACCGTCGCAGACGGACCACCACCAGCACGACCACGACCACCACGACCACCACGACCACCACGACCACCACGACCACCACGACCACCACGACCACCACGACCACCACGACCACCACGACCACCACGACCACCACCACCACCACGACCACCACGACCACCACGACCACCACGACTACCACCACCACCACCACGACCACCACCACGACGACCACCACCACGACCACCCTGACTCCGGTTTGGGTCGCCATGTTTCTCAACAATGATTGCAGCGGCCCGCCCGATCTCCGAGTGGACCTTGCCAATTCCGTGGCGCCGAATTGTCATCAGTGCTGGGATCGTTGCCAGGAAGGCAGCAGCGGTTTCAGATCATTCATTCTTGAAAGTCCTGGAAAAGCTGCAATTTCTTGGGACTGTGTCGGCTTTTCCGACTCCTATCCCAACACCGGCTTCGAGATTGGCCGTACATTCACCTCAGCCGCTTGCCACAATCCTGGCGGAGGAGCAACTGTGGCGCTTTGCGACGCTGCAGTCTTTGGCACGGCAAGGTACAACACCCAGCTCGCAAATATTTGCGCTTGATCATATTTGCTGACCTGAGTTTAGGTTGCTGAATCATGCCCTGCAGCCTTTCTCAGCAGCCACAGACGTTGAAGCTACCTTGAGAAGTGACTTCAGAGCACGTTCCAAGCTCTGAGCTCTGGTCGCCCAAGGCGAAGGAGCGAAGAGGCTCATCGCTTTAGTTAGTCCACCGCCTCCTGGCATTACAGAAGCCCTGTGGATTCTCAAAGAGATCTCCAGAGACAGAAAAAAGGATGCTCTCTTTTGCAAAAGACTTTGCCACGGCTTCTTACCCTCAAGCCCAGCACTCACAAGGCTGTCTTTCTGTAGGTATCGGGATTGCAGATTCCTCGTGTATGCATATCTCTTCTGACGTCACGCTTGTTGTCGTAGTCCCAGAGACCTGAACAATGAACACCCATGGGACTCTATGGGTGGGCACCTGCGCCCTTAATCGTACAGACGATGATGAAGACTTTGTCGAAAGGCGTCCGGAACCAACGACTCTCTCTTACACCCTAGAGGCCTAAAACCTAACCATCATAGGCCGGGCAAGGACTCAGGTGTGTGGTTCAGGGTTCAAGGCTCTTGTGGTTTAGGGTTGCAAAAGGGTTTGAGGTGAAGTGTTAAAGGTTTAGGTTTAGCGTCGTTAGGGTTAAATCAAGGCAATTGGAGCGGGGGTCAGTGATGGCTGGTTTTGAGAGTTGCCCAAATTTGCGGACATTCAAGGACCCCAAACAGGGACTCGTAATGCCAAGGCTTGTGTTTTCGCCTCCCTTTGCAGCAGTGAAACCTACTTGGAACCTTGGCAAGGATCCTTCGGGTCTTGGGGGGCAATGTTTGGGCATTGAGATGCTTCCCAAAAGACCCGAGTTTCCTCATCACCTTTGTCTTTCACCAATTGGCTCAAGGAAGCAGAGAGCCCCCTGCACAAGATTCATTGAACTCCTTGATGCCTGGTGAGATGGATTTATGAGGTCATGCGTTCACTCATGCAGTCTTACCGACTAGTTCTTGAATCCTGTACCAGTCCGTGAGCACCGTTGTAAGCTCTGAAAGACCCATGGGCCCGGAGAAGCTCTCAAGAGCGGTTAAACCACTCCTGAGGTCCCCCTGAGTCCTCCCTTGATCGTAACATCCCCGGCGGAGCGAAGCCATGGATCTGGTGGCCTCCTTCTTCCGCACAGGCCATGGCGGCCATGTGTGCAGTCTTGTCGGCTACAGTTGCAGAATCTTCGGAAAGTCATTCTGATCCCCCCCCGAGTGCCACAAACCTGTGCGACTCACCAACGCCGTCGGACAAGACGCCGGCGGCTTTGTGTAAATGTCCGTGCGCTGCGCACGGATGGCAATTCTACAAAACCCCGAGCATTCAGATGTCAGAACGAAACAAGAGAAAGAGGAGAGGGAGAGGGAGAGGGAGAGGGAGAGAGGGAGAGGGAGAGGGAGAGGGAGAGCGAGAGGGAGAGAGAGAGGGAGAGGGAGAGGGAGAGGGAGAGGGAGAGGGAGAGGGAGGGCACAAAGAGAAGCAGCAAAAGCGCAGAATCGCGCGGACCTTGCAGGTGTCGCCTCTGCGCGAGGTCTCCGACGTTCTTTGCGGCGAGGTCCGGAGTGAGTTTGCTCAGCGAAAGGTACCGAAACACCAGGAGGGCTGCGCTTTGGGCTTACTTGTTTCACACTGGGTCTAGCAACACGTACTGAGCTCTAAGCACTCCTTCAGCACAACATGCCTCCTAAACCATCGAGCATGAAGCTGATCAAAGCTTATCGGGCTGGAAAGGCTCAGTAGGCTGACATGACTGCGAAGATACGGGGTGGGGGGAAATTCTTCTTGTTTGGTGCTGTGGGCACTTGGAAAGCATGTGCTGCTGGTGCTGGGGTGTCCGAATGCAACCAGTTCTCGAAATTTTGTGAGATTCTGTGGGCCATGTTGCCACCCGCGCCTTCCAGGCTTCCTCTGCAGTGTCTACGTGGTCAAGGCAGGATTCTAAATTCAAATCTAGAGAAAAAGAACCAGCCTCACCGGATTCTTCTCTTGATTGCATGTTGTGGGGCACGGATGTTTCTCTTGAGTGCATGCTGTGAGTCGGACATAATTGGCGCCAAGTTCCAACGAGAAGTCCAGCTGTAGGAGCGATGTTTGGGACTTTACGATGGCCTTGCAGCAAGCCCAGACTTTTTTGGTATGTGTTTCTGTTATCTGAGATTGTGTGCTGGGACCATCCGTCGCTTTGCTCTAGTACTCTACTAGGGCTCAGAGTAGGACTTCGGGACACGGCCGTTTTGGCTCAGAGTTTGGGTGGGACGTGCCCTGACCACTGAGCCACTGAGGCCGATGCTTTGAATTGCCAAAAACGTCGCCAGCTGCAGTGGCGACGGGCAGCGGCCTCAAGGGCTCAAGGGGGGAGCGAGGGCCAAAAGGCTCTGAGCGGCAACGACTTTTCTACCAAATCTTCTTTTGCTGTAAATGTCTTGCCAATCGCTGGTCACGAACCACAAACCTGCAAACAGTACCAGCAAATACAACTTGCTGTGCAAAGCACACATACGCTCAGGAAACTTGCGTGGCCAGCTTTCGCGTGGGCCTTGGACTTTCTGCTTTGCAAGTCTAGTTGTGAACTTCTTCGCAGCTTGCTTGACCTTGACATGGCACCCATTTGTGAGTGCGCCGCTTGTTTTCCAGGGATTTTGAAGTCCGAAGTCGTCAGCCGAGGCACGAACTCCGGAGCGCTTGCTGCAGCGAGGTACCTTCAAGCATGCCATGGTGTTGTGGCAGCTATGTTATGTTATTATGGTGCTGGGCACTGTTCAAGTCCAGCACTGTTTGTGTGGGTCAGCAACAAAGCAGGTCTACAAAGCCGATGGTGTACAACTTCACGGATCTGCAACACGGTGAAGAGTCTGACAACGTGCCCGAGGCGGATTGATCCAAGGCGTTTTGCACCAACCAAAGCATGTTATGTTCTGGCCGAGTGAGCGGGCTGCAAGCTGGTCATGCTCCTGTACAAAGAAACCTCGCGAATCCACGCGAAGGGGCCAATGAGCCAACGAGAGGGCCAAAGAAGCAGCGAGGAGTAGGAGATTGACAACATGCGGAAGTCAGCACTCCGTTGCCCACACCCACAAACACACAGAGACTAACTCACTCACTCACTCGCTCGCTCACTCACTCACTCACTCAAGTACTCACTCACTCACTCACTCACTCACTCACTCAATTATTCACTCACTCACTCACTCGCTCACTCGCTCACTCACTCACTCAACTCACTCAGCTCACTCAACTCACTCAACTCACTCAACTCAAGTCAGTCAAGCCACTCAAGTCACTCAACTCACTCAACTCACTCACTTCATTCATTTCACTCACCTGACTCACCTCACTCACCTCACTCACCTCACTCACCTCGCTCACTCACTTACTCGCTCAGTCACTCACTCATGAACGCGCACACGCACGTGCAGGCGCGCCCCTGCTCGCGCACGCGCCACGCCCGCGGCTCCCGGGCCCGCGCCCGCCCCCGCGCCCGCCCCCGCGCCCGCACCCCCACATGCACTCACACCCTCGCACGGCTGACTGTCCGCCAACCTACGCACCCACACGTACATTTGCGAACTCGCGAACGACAACGCTCGAGCGAACGTGCATGTGCGCATGCGCACACGGGTGCTGCGCACCTGCGTTGTCGCGCACACCTGTGCTTCCGCGCACACGCGCACGCCCGCACGCACGCGCGCAGTTGCGAACGCGCACACTTACACGGCGCACGTTGCTTTCATTCTTTCAGATTCAGTGCGTTTGCCTCTCACCCTCTCACCAATTACACCCGGGGCCCGAAGCACCCCTAAACTCTAAGCTGATCTCTCATCGGAAATTCCTTAAGACCCCTTCAACTTTTCAAAGCTTCTTCTGGTTTTGGCTCAAGGCCGAGTATAGGGGGGGCCTCAAGGCGCGCTGCGGAGCAGCGTTCAGCCCCGAAGGCGATGGGAGAGGGGAAGGAGCGTGCTGACCTGGTGTCGGCGGTTTTGAACGTTAAGAACCAGTCAGTTGAGTGTAGGGGTGTTGCTTGCTTAGGCGCCGGTTGAAATTGGGGATCTCCGCTCTCGATTGGTCTTTCCTTGCAGGTCATGTGGGCATCAGCCCAGGGATGTTATGAGTGCTCTCGCTCTCCAGCTTCGGCAAAGCTTCGCAAACAGGTTGGTGTATGCTTTTGTTTGCAAGCTCGGTGAGCTTCGGGACCTTTGTGAGAACAATTCGTCCTTGGGTGTGTCTCCAGCGCATACCTCTGTGCAGCAGCTCTGAAGTGAGAGGGGTTGGGGTGTGAGCAGTTTTCCATGACAATGAGAGGTTTCGCTTGGCTGATGGTTCTCATTCTTAGAACGCAAGCATGTCTTGATCCTTCGAACCACCTCTGAACAGCTCGGGAGCAAGTGTTACTGTCGGCTCTGAGGTTCACATGAAGCACCGGACGCTTTTGCTGTTGGTTGCAGCTGTCGTACCGGGCTCGGGCACACAGTAAAAAGGCCACAGCAGCAGCGAATCTTAGGGCTTCTTGGGCATCTCGGGTGATGGTGACAAATCTTCCCATGTTCTGAAGGCGACTGAGTCAACGTGCCAAGCCTCAACCCTGACCCCTCCAGCACTACAACCCAAGCATATTGCAAGGCCATCGCATCATACTCAGATTCTTAGAGTCCCCCCGATCCTATCATGGGCCATGCGAAGCCGTAACTCATTGTCCCGCAGATCACTATGCCACTATGCTCAGTATGCTCAGGCCTTGAAGGACTTGTCTTGGAGCTTTACAGGCCTCGAGCTGTCTTGTAGTGCCACTCTGTAGCTGCTCGCGAAGGGTCTTGGGCGCAGCTGCACGTCGAATGTTCTTGTCAGGGTCACACAAAATAGGGCTAGCAGCATGAATCAGGTATCCCAGAGATTTGTCTGTGCTGCCTCCTGTCATGACCTCCTCAACCTCCCCCGTTGTTTCACGCCTTTCATAGGTGCCACAGCATGGTCGACGCAGAGCCACTGGTCTGCCCACGAGCCTCCGCATTTCAGGGTTCAGGTTCCAGGGCCAGGGTTCGGGGTTCAGGAAACATGATGCCTGGAGCCCGGACTCCCGAACAGGAGGCCTCCGAACATGCTCGAACTCGCAAGGGTATGCAGAGAACAGGCAGTCGAGCACAGGAAGGGCACAACTCCTCCGTTGCAGTTTTTCAGAGCCTTTAGCCACATAAGCCCTCTCTACCTCTTTATAAGATGTTTATAGTTTATAGGCCCCCCCAAAAAAACCCCAAAGCCCACATCCTCCTTTTGCAATTCCAAGGGGCGTTTCATGGAAAGCGCCGTGCCGCAGATGACGACCGGCTGCCGGAGGTTCCCTGAGCGGGATCAGTTTCTGCAACTCTTATTCGTGCTTTGTAGTGTTTCGTTATTACAGGGATATGGTTATGATTATGAGAATGAACATTGTCTTTTTCATAGTGAATGCAATAGTCAGAACAGCAATAATTAGTGTTGTTGCTACGTTGTTTGTTGTTGTGATTGTACGCCGGGCATGCCCAGGCATATTCCCGGTCATCGCAGTGATACCTGTGCCTTTGCAGCCCCGCAGGCGCCGCCGGGAGGCCGGGTCATCCACGTCGAGTATTGTCGCAGCCTTGGTCTGAGGTTTGATAGAGAAATGAAGATATACGTATATATCTATATTGGTATATGGCGTATGAACATATATATACATATCCATACATATATATATATATGTACATAAATGTGTATCTCTCTCTCTATATATATCTTATTCAAGAGCCAGTTTTTATGCTTATACTATATATATATATATGTATATTTATATCCATATACATATATACAATGTCTGTCTATCCATCTATCTGTATATCGGTGTAAGTTAGACATCATCGGATCGGAGGGCCTGGGCTTTGCGGCCTCCACTTTCGGCTTGAGTTTCAGAGTTCCTGCCCATCATCCCTCGCTCATGGGTTCCTTTCAGGATCCGGCTTACTGCTAACATTACCATGTTGCAGCAAAGGGGGGTGGTTGCTTGGCATGTTCCCACCGGGGTGTCGGGGGCTGTGGCTTCGGGGATCAGCGATTGAGGTTCGCTTGCGATGGCTAGATGGCTATGGCAACAGTTGCCGCGTTAAGAGCTCCAGACAGGCTTGGTCGTGTGTGCGTTGGTGTCTGACAAGGTAGCTGCGCATAGCATAATAGCAGAAATTCATCTGCCCCGAGAGTGGCAGTAAGCGGTCAGACGGCAAGTTGTAACACGGATGTGCAAGAGGAACTTTTGGTTTCTAGACAGGCCCATGGCCACGGGCCTCGCAGTCGCCACTCCAGTTGCCGAGGCAATGACTGCAAGTTCCTTCCGCGCTATCTCAAACTGAGGAAGGTGCGCTGTCACAATGAGCATTGATATTGTGGAACTTCTGTGGGCTTCCAAAACATAGGGTTCCCTTTATATCCGCTGAGTAAAGCAGGATCGCCCTTAACAGGACCCCCAAGAAGGTACCCACAAATGTGGTCTCAACTCCAGTAAGAAGAGCTGTGCGAAATCTCTTAGTGGCCCTGTCTCGCCTTTTTTCAAGGCCATGGCTGAGCGCTTTGGTGAGCGAGTCCTTTGCTTCGGCAACCACGAGGACCCTCTTGTACCAAGACCGCCGAACTCAGAACATCTTGTTGCCCCATCTGCCTAAAACTGTTGAAGCCTTGTAGACCCCAGGCCCCAAACACCTGAAACTCAAAAAAACCACTGAAGTCCCTAGACCAGACCCACTAGACCTCCTGCAAGAACTCCCCGACACCATCCAGATCGAGGAGACCTTGCAGGAGCTCTGCAAGAAGTCGAAGCCGC